TGTTATATTTGAAAAAATTGAAAAAACAAACGATGAAAATGATCCATTTATTAGCGTAGTTAGTGTATGGTATGATAACGTCTGCAGTTTTATGTATATTAATCCTGAATTTGAAATATCCACTATAATTATTCATATTAATCATTATATGATGCGTAACTATGTAATGACTAGTCAGTATAAATTCTATTTAAATCAACTTCATCAATCACCGTTATCACAGTCCATATTTACTGCTAAACAGTTATTTTATATAAAAACATGTTCATTACTTATAAGTGCATATTTATATACAAAAACTCAAGATTTTCCTTATACTCTTGAAGAATTAATTCAGCATTTTGGTGCTGATATCACACAAATAATCATTCTTCATACCTATACTATAGAATCATGGAACGCAGAGTTACTGAGTTGTATTACAAGTCTTAGTGCCCTTTTTTCTACTTGTTATTGGTGGGGAGGAGAGAAAGAATCACAAGCCAAAATAGTTTTTCTGACTGAATCAGCAACCTGTGAATATATCGATGCACTCATTCGTATAATTGACTATAAGCCGATTTCTCAATCTATTGAGATAAAACGAACAAATGATCTAACGATTCTTTTAGAGATAACTTTATTTCGAATACTAAATATAGCACAAAATGGCAATTTTCTTTGGTTTCTACGTTCAAAGACTTCGCTACCCGATACACTTTTAACCATTGCTAAAACATCACCTTGTGATAAAATACGCTTATCTATATATGCAATACTTGGTGAAATTCTATGTGATAAAAGTTTGAAAGAGTTGGAAATATCCGATAGTGCCAGTAGTTTTTTCTTTAATGCATTTGAACAAGCATGGGAACGTCCATCAAAAAAGTTTCAACAAGTACCATTGTTGCTTCTACTAAAATGTAAGTGATTAGTAATAGATGTTAAAATTTCATTAGTGAATATTCTTTTTTTCAGGTTTGATGAATTTTTCTAAAATCGATGCTTTTCAACAGCAAATAGCTAATACAAATAAAGTATTACTTCTGATTGAAATGTGTGATCAATATCCAATAGTATATGATATTCTATGGGCACTCTCATTCAATCATGATATTCAACAACAACTTCATTCAAATACATCATTTATAACAAAATTAGCTCATCTACCGAAAGAATATGATAATCAAATACGAAAAAGTGCACATGGAATATTATGGAACTTAAAAATAAGCCATGAAGATCGTACAACATTAGCAGTTAGTAATGAAAAAACTTTTGACATTATGATTAGTTATTCACATAAAAATGAAACCATTTGTAAACAAATTTATAATGAACTTATCAATAGTGGTTATCGTGTATGGATTGATTTTGATCAAATACATGGTAATGTTATGGATGCAATGGCA